TAATACCCGTTCGAAACGGTGATCTCTACTATCAACCCCTTGACCTACACCTTATTTTCCGATTGCTCGGACCGTAGGAAACAGGAAAGTAGGAAGTACGAACGAAGTACCACGAATCAGACTCGTGCTTATTATTTATGGCCTAAATCCCTTACCACGAGTCTCACTCGTCATTGTAGGCCAAAGGGTCAACAGATGATTCTTCCAAATTTATGCCCGCGTACAACGAAGATCAGAATTCAAAGTCGTGTACAAAATTTATACGTCACGCTACGTATAAATTAATTATTACACATGAAAACAAGTCGAGTGCTCGATAGAACTATTCTACCTCAATACTTCTTCGATACCTCTTCTTTTTTTTAAATGTTCTCATCTTTATTTTCGATGACGAGTTCAATAGTTTCCGAGGTATCCATGAAGAAACTAATTAAAAGACTGAATGAAAATATAAGCGAAAAATCAGCTCGATAAAAGTATCATCCTAATTAAATCTAAAGTGACTGGACCACGTCTTTCGTCCTTGGGATTCGGGGTTACGTTCGTTGCAAGGATCGGAAGAAGAGATACGGGGAGATATATTCGTTGAAACCATTCGAGTTTTTTGAGTGTCTTTATTAGAGCGTAGCCGGTAAGCGTTTTATGGCAGCTTTACGAGGATGACTGGGGTAGCGACCGTCGTAAAAGTCATCGAAAAGAAAACCTAACCCAACGGTGAAACAACGATAAGACGATAAATTCATAATATTAACAGTAGTAGAATGTAGTGATTGATTAACTAAGATAATTCAACTAAAAAAAAAAAGAAAAATAAAGAAGAAGGAAAAAAGTAGTAAAATCCTCCTAGGTACACTCTGTGTCGTCGTCTCTTTCATTCTTCTCGGTCCAGAAAAAATAAAATGGAAAAGAAAAGGATCGCAGGGGGGTGGGGAGAGAGAACGAGTCGGAAAAGATGGGAGGTGTGGTAGAGCGGAGATCGGCGGTGTTCACGTATCCAACAATTATCTCGTTTCTGTCGCAATCGTAGCTGACAATGTTTTACAATAATAATCGCAGGAGTTCCACGACTCTCACCCATCGACCGCCTCGCTGACTGGAATAAACGCATCTACGTAACATGTGTCGCGGGCTTATGATAGTTAGGTCTCTCTCTGTCGCCTCTCTTCTTCGTCCGTACGATTTCCTGGCAATTAATACTACGTCTCGTTACAATTTTCTGTTTACGCTAGCTCCACTCTCGCGCGACGTTAAACACTTACTCTGTCTTTCGAACGTTTCTCACTTGCATACCAGTGATGGACGAAATTATCATTTAGGTGGAAAACTCAAGATACACAGCTTCCATTCGTTAGTTCTTTAGGTAAATAATTAAAATTTGTGTGGTAGGATGAAATTGTACAAACATTATAATACAATAAATCATTTGGATCATTGTTTAATGAAACAAGCGTTGCAAATGACTCGATATGCAACGTTCTTATGTGTCGGTAACTTTTAGTCCATTACTGGATCGAATAAAAATTAGAATTTGAATTGGAAGGTAAAATTGCTTTTCACGTCGAATAAATAAGAGCTTATCCGAGTATCTGGTTAAGAAAATAAATATCGGAGATAAATTGGTGTACAGTGTTTCTATTTGTCATCTATGACTGCCCATCTCTGAATTATGCACATACTCGCATTCTCTTTTCAGTCACTCCCTCTCCCTCTCTAGCACTCTATCGTTCTCTTACTTTTTTCCATCGCACAGTGGAGTATTTGTCTCGAAAACCTGACCAAAATTATTTAGAAAAATTTGTCTAATCGAATAATGTTTCAACCTGAAATAGTCGTATACATGAAAAATATTGGGCTGACATTATCTTTTTTGTACTCACATTTATGAAGCGTTAACAGTTTTCATAGTTCATACCTTTTGTTTAAACATCTGCAAATTTGCAAATTTATTAACGTCTAAGTTGTTTCAAGATTTTTCTTACAAAAACTTTTCAAGTAAGTATGTACAATAATTCTTTGATAAAATTACTTTCTTTTACACTACCAGTGTCAATCTTGGATTACCGCTACCGACTAGTAATGAAAGTTAAATTCCTTACATTTATAAATAAATCTTTACAAAAGTATTATTTCAAAAAATAAGTAAACTTTTATTAGTTTTTTACCAGAGTCATACATAATCAAGATTAACTATACGAGGACAATTATACGATATACTGCAACAAGCATAGATGGAATTAAATATAATAAACCAGGAATAGAAGATTCTTAATCTAAGAAAACAAAGTATCCAGAATATTTATACCCGAACCACGAAAACTGCTAATTTTAAAGTATCTAAATCTCTTTACAACCGTGTAAAATAATTAACACGATTAAACAAAATAATTTCTGCCAAATTTATTACTGCAAATACCACACTGTGCGTCGTTTAAATCATTCACGGCAGAGCGGCGCGGAACGTGTTTTTTCTTCGTTTGCGGCCACCCCATACACGCACACGATGACTGCCCCATGATTCGTTACTTTGTCATCCGTCCTCACGAGGAATTTTTTTCTGCCTTTCTCTTTTTCTCTCTTTCTATATATAATATACTTTATAAAATACATTAGTTTACAAACAACGTGAATTAAGTGCCGACGTCCCGCGGGAGTTATCACAGCTCAGGCTCGATCGTGAAACGGCTCGACTAAGAACTCTACCCGGACGAACTAGTGGAAGAACTCTAGCTCGAGAAAAAAGAAAGATCTCCGTTTCGTTTGCGCCGCCGTTCGCCTCGACTACTCGATAAATATCGCTGCTAGTTGCTTTTCATCCGAACCGAAGGGTCAGGTTTGAACTAGTCGAGTCTAAGGGCTCTTTCGGACGAAACACTTGGTTATGGTACACCAACTTCTATGTCAGAATTGAATAGACCTCTTTCCGTCGTATTTCATGTACGCAGCAAAGAGTATACATTCGTTTAATGACCAGAGGTGGGTAAAATTTGATCCTAATAAGAAGTGTGCCTCCAATTATAGTCTTCTACACGTTCGTTATGAGTATATACATTCATATGTGAAATAAATTTTTGTTTTCTTGTATATATTCTTAAAGGAGTATGTACTTATTTCAATTTAATCCTCATTTGCATAATGTAGCCAACTATATCCTTATACACATTTGTTATGTGTATATATGTATTCACATATGAAACAAAGATCTATTTTCTTAAATTTGTCAATACAGATGTATGTGTGTGTTTCATTGTAACCCTCCGTTGCATAATGTAATTATTTAATTATATCCTTAATTACAAACTTAAATTATATCCTTATACACATTTGTTATATGTATATATGTGTATATTCACATATGAAATAAAGATCTATTTTCTTAAATTTGTCAATAAAGATGTACGTATTTGTTTAATTGTAACCCTCCGTTGCATGATGTAATCAATTGAATAAATTAATCCTGGAAAGTCCATTGAGGGAATTTTGCAGCAATTACACATGATGCTTTCGTATGGAAATGTTTAACATTTCTACAGGCTCGATCATGTATAGTTTACTTCGAACAGTAATTAATTCGTAAATGGACAAATAATCAGGAAATAATTTCTTCTTTGAAAGATTCGATAGAAAGCGTACGACAGAGGATTAAATCACCTTTGTAATGAAGATTGTATGCTAAATGTATAGTAGTGAGAAAGAAAGATTAATATTGGAAGGAATTTTTCCCAATCGTATTGGGTCAAATGTTTTAGTTAGCCTTCAAAATACCTACGACTAAGCAAATATTTTTAGACATTGTCTATATTTTCCTAAACGATGGCACCGCATTGTACTCAAATTGGAATTGATCTTTCTTACTCCCTACGTTAATATTTACGAAATCTCCAAAATAGATTCTGTTACTCAAGGATTCACGTTTATTGAAGTAGATAATTATACAGGTAATGTTTTATTCCTTATTCGATGTTCAAATATTTCATCTAGATACAAATTTTGCCTATCTCTGCTCAAAACATTGTACTCGAAGTAAAATCGACTTGTCAAAAACTATTATTCGAGGCCACTTCCTCTACCATGAATCGCGCCAATCGTGGCGTTTATTGCCACTCGAGCGTGCGTCTTTGAAACTCTGAAATAAGGACACAGAGTAGCAAGGTTGTCAAGGAAATGACGGGGATACTACTTTGGTGGCCTTGACCAGCTAAGTGATTTTATGCCAATTGAAATGACATGTAAAATACCGCAGATCAGTGTTTCTCAAACTCCACCCTTTTGGAATCCGCATTGATAAAGATTGATTAAAATTAAATTTGTATTTATTATTCAAATATTCAAATATATTCTAAAACTTATTTTTATTTAATAAAACACAGAAATGATTTTACAAATGGTTATTGGGATCGCATAATTCTTGATAGGATTTATCAAATAAAAATAAAAAATCTGTATTACTCGACTCGCAAGTAAAAATATCCCATTGTAATGGAAAAACATTGATTAAAATTTGTTTACTCTTCTTAGCTTATCCAGCAGCAGGATGAAGAGTGATATATCTGTCACTGGTACAAAATAAAAACTCAACTGCTGTGAATTTCCAAGATTTCCAATTATCAGAATATTTTTAATGCTGTGTTTAAAGTAAACCAATCTAATTTTTTTGTTTTAATTTTACAAGCAAATGCTAAAAAAGTAATAATTATGTCCTGCACGATACTTCGTCCTTCGCAAATTGGTGACTTCTTTCAATCTTGAAATATAAAATAAACTATAATTTTTATAAACAATGCAAAATATACTGTTCATACCCCATAATAAAATGCCTCATCTTATACTCAAATGTAGGCATTTTATATCATCATTGAGAATGACGATTGGCAAAAATTGTGCCGACAAATGATTCATTTATACTTCTCGTTTTCTTCTAGCAGTTCACCGCCGCCATCTTGTCCGCAGACCTTCCGAGGGCATAGTTTGAGAAACATCGTCGTAGGTACTGCAACAAGAGACGGAGAAAGCGTTCGTGCCTTTTCCTTCGTAGAATGGAAAACTAAAAGTACAAGGAATCGGTGTCTTCTCCGAAAGAGGCCCAAGACAATTGTTAACCCTAGCTCTGTGTATGGTTACACGAAAAAAATAGTGCTACTAAACGTAGGAAAACGGGATCGTGTTACGGAGCTGCGCAACCGACTGGCAGAGACGTCGATCATCAGAACAATAAGACTATCTTATCGTGCTACATACATATTTACAAAGCCTCCAGCGCGGAGACGTTCTCCTTCCTTCGACTTTTCCCCAAAAATCCGAAACGTGCACTAACGCAGGAAGCAACGGGAAGGCGCGTTCGTTCAAAGGACAGCTCTTTATTGTTTCTCCTGCTCGGCTGTGCTGACTGAAACTCCCTTATCTCTGTCTTTCTTATCCCATCGGTGAAATTGTTTAAATAAATATGTTTCGTCTATTATCGCGCGTTAAGAGCGCAGCTTTCATTCAGAACACGGCTATGATATCTCTGGGATAAAGACTTTGGGGTAGTGCATGTTCCGGATGTATCTACAACGAGGCAAGATTCTGTCATCCCTCCTCTTTCCCCTATTCATCAGACATCGGGCCGAGCCTATTAACTATGTTTCCACCGCTCTTCGAGGTTGCGTCGATACCGAACACGAAGAACGTACAAAGAATTCTGAACGATTGGCTGCATGATTTGCAAAAATATTTCTCGACTATCTCCTACTTGTCTTGCGTTTCATCTTTTTTTGTTTTCCGTAATTTTTCCAAATACTAACTTTTAACGATTCGGCGGGAAGGGGTTACTAATATTTTTTTTTCCTTTAGAAGTTTCAACGGTAACTGTCGCCCTCGCGCGAGGACAATTGGATGGTATAATCTTTTTTTTTTGCTCTAGCAGATAAATTTGTAAACTTGCGTCCTGTCTCGTCGCGAAAAGACGGCGGCGTCGTTTTTTCACGGTGAAATCAATCGTTCGTTATAATCGCGGGCGCTGCGACGCCGTGGTAATTAAAGGTATCGCGCGAACGTTTCGCGTCGTATCGGAAAAGGAGACAGGATGATTCAAATAAAACGAAAATCTGACGAAAGTTTGTTGGTGTTTTAGTCTCCGCAGACCGGAAGAGAAAGAAAACGTCCGGGTCGTTGCAGCGACAACGCACCGGCTCGTACGGAATAATAAACCTGATAAACGAGAAATAACGAGTCGTTACAACGTCAGGATGTTCTCGGACCACAATCTCTTGCGAACCCTCGCCCTCTCGCGTCCCTACGTATCCCTGGAAAAAAAGTACATGTTCATAGACTGATTTCAGAGTAAGGTAATATTATTGGATGGATGCATGATTATCCGGCCTTTTTTTTAAGACAACATTTTTTTGTAAGAATATTTTTAAATACAAATGAATGTAATTCAAATACAAAAATTGCGATATATGCCCTGACAATCGTAATTATTTCTTTATTGTTGGTATCTGACATCTTTAACAACGAATTCTTTTAAGCGAAGAAATGTTGATGTATTATTTTATTTGATTACAAATTGATCGAGAAACAATAAATATGCACACCAAGAAATAACGTCCATTTACATATGTATGTACTGTTAAATTGTAAACGGCAAGATATCATACATTTAGGCACACCAGTTCTTTACATTTTACACATTTTTGCATAATTTTTTACCGGTCACTAGTACAATAAAAAATATGATTTTAAATTATTTATTTCTTTATCCGAAACGATAACTGTGCACGCAAGTGTACGTTTGTAATTTCTCATAAAACATAACTAATGATACAAATTATGTATTCAAATTTCTTCAATCAGGAAAGGTCTAGCTACCTTTCTATGATAAATATTACACAATAGTGGCCGTTTCAAATGCATCGCCATATAAATATCAATACTTTTGCGTTTACTCTCACATAAATAGTAACTGTCTGTGCTTTTAGGCATGAAAGCTTCGATTTACATTAGAGAAAACATAAAATACAACAACAACAACAACAACAAAATTTATCGTAACTACCACATTTGCAATGCATCTACGTACTCGATAATCTGCGTTTTTGAGGAGTGACGCGATTTCCATGGTCGCTACTACATTTGCGTAATGTTATTACACAAGAAACTGAAAGTAATTAGAATTGTTCCGTAGGTCTCGAGGATCGAAAAGCAAACATCACGATGACGTTCATGATGCGAACAAATTAAAGAGAATCGTTACCTCAGAATGACCTTCTCCATTAGCATAGACAAACGACCCTCGGAGTGATTGGCAGGAAGCAAGGACTTGAGGAGCTCCCTGATGAGGGCCTCGGTCATTCCTGGCGAATTACGTTCCGCTGTCTCGAATGCCCCGCGTAGTTCGTCTATCGTGCCTCCGTTCTTTCGTATACCACTTCCGCCCTCGCCATTATTGTCTCTCACCGAATATTGATGTTTCCGTTGAAGCTGCGACAAATAAAGAGAACAAAAGATATATTTTAATGACAGTATAGAACCTATCTTCTTCATCGAAACTACGAACGAGCCAAGAGAAACGAAATATTGGGGTAATATTATGCGAGTTAGGTACTACGGCGTTCTTGTAAGGGAAAACAACCTAGGAAGTTGGATAAGTTATCTTTCTTGATTAATTTATTGCAACATAATAAACACGTTATTTATTCAAGACTTATTCAGGACAGAGTGTTTGAGAGTGAAAATTAATTGTAATAATGATGAAAAAAAAATTGACATCGCTATGCTAATTCTCGTGAACTTGATCACTTATTATCTGATATTAGAACATGTGTTTAATAATGGTAGTCACAATTTCTCTTGCAGAGTTTAACTTAAGAACCAAGATAATTAGTAAGACGATAAACGGACGCCTACTAACGGCTTATTACTATCAGTTACCACTGATAGGGGTTCTTATTCTAACGAACCCTCAAGAGTTGACAAAAACGAAAAAGGAAAGCCTTTTCTTTGTAAGCGGAAAATTAAAGTCTTCGTAAAACTCTAGTCACACGCTGTTGCAAGGAATATATTCATTTCTTAAATAACAACATCAGGGGGCGAACTCGACTTAGAATGGAACATTGATAATAATTAGTTGATTTAAGAAAGTTACTTACCTCGGAAAGAAGAGGTAAAACGACGTCGGAAAGAGCTGCGCTTCGCGGATGCTTCTGATCCTGTGAGCTCCTCGGTCTTTGTTTGTCTTCACCGAGCCTATGGTCCACCATAGGTACGACAGGTACGTCCGGTTTGCTACACCTCTTCTCTTTCGAACCAAAGTCCCTTTCTCGGACTTCTCTGTCCCTTTCTCGGCCCTCCCTGTCTCTGCCGTCTCTGGTATCACGGATCTCCTTCAGTTCCCTCAGCGAGGAGTCTCGATTGAAGTCGCGGTAATCGCGATCATCCCTTTTCTCCCGCGTATCAACCGGTGGAGGCGGTGCGGCCTCGTGCGGTCGGGACTGAAAAATATAATTAAATATATCGTTAAACAATCAGCTATATTAAAAACAGCGGAAGTATGACTTCATCCCAGTGGTACGCATAGTGTTAACATTTTCGCTGCGGACGAAAATAAGTAGCCGTTCGCTGGGAGCTGCAATTATGATATTTCTTTTAATGAAAAATTTCTTACAAATGTTCCGATTATTTTGAAAAACATTTACTTGCGGTAACTTATTTTATATATAATAATGTTGCGAGCACCCTTCGGATGGATTCAAATCTCTACATTTAATTACATTCCTATTGTACACATTTCTATTGTAAAGGTAATTGTTATTTATTAAAGTTCTTGTTAACTCGTGATGTCGAAACTCAACAATATCATTGCCGAACAAAAGAAATGAAAACTGAAAAATAATAAAAACAACCATATATTTTCAGTTGGACGCACATGTGCGTCATCCGCAGCGAAAGTGTTAAGTAATAGTACTTTCATAAAAATATCATGAATATCATAAATTCATTATTCTAAAAAGTAAACGAACTTCTATTAGTTCTTTACTACGGTTATACGGAATGAAATTAACTGTACAAGGACAATTATATTAGAGGGACCGAAAAGTAATGTCATTTTCTTTACATCAAAGTCAAATAAATTCTTAATAAGTTTCTATTTTTAATCAATTACGTAATCACTCTCGTTGTCAACAGCTTTTTGACATCTAGTGTGCAAATGTTTAATGCCAGATCGATAAAAATCAAGGAACTGATGAATGATAAATAAGAATTGACATTCGCAGAAACGACATTACTTTCCAGTCCACCTAATATAATATCGCGCAACACGCATAAATAAAGGTTTACAGCAAGGCAAGATTATTATTGCTCCGATATCAAAATCATTTAATCCTGTATGATGAAGGTAAAAACAGATTCGAAAATCCGTTTTTCTCATTCAAAGTTTGTCAGTGCTGAAGGTGTGGAATGAAATTTTCTTTCAATCGATCCTGTAAATGATAGTGATCGTTATTTTAATACTTTAAAGCAATTTAATACTTTTGTACTTCGATACTTGAGCACTTTACTGTTTAGGGAAGGAAAGAAACTTTGTTTGTCAGTTTTTCATTGTGAAAGAAAGTTTGTCAGTGTTGAAGATGTGGTATGAATTCTTCTTTCAATCGATGGTGTACATGTCAGTGATCGTTATTTAAATACTTTTGTACTTCAATACTTGAGTACTTTACTGTTTAGGGAAGGAAAGAAATAAAAAACATTGTCCACCATTCTGCATCTCTAATCGCTCACGTAGCTTGAATATGAAGCACAAGTACGACCGAATCCGCGATCCTCAAGGATCTCTGAATCCGTCAAAGGCTGAAGTGTATTCGGATTTAATTAGGATTGTACGGAAGCGGATGCTTACCGGTGTGTGCTTAGCTTGGCCATCGCGCACCGAGTCTCTCGATTCGCTCCTGTAATGGTTCAATGTAGAATCCTTCGGCGGAGACCTCGAGGCTCCGTTGGCGTGTGGCTTCGTTTGCTGATTGTGATTGGAGGATCTGTGGTTCGGCGTATGCGTTAGCGTCAACGAGGTCGGCTGATCGTCCAGCGGTAGCATGGGCACGACGGAACCCTTTACCCCGTGGGGACCCTTCACGGTCATTATCCATGGTTCGTCCATGTCGCTATCCTGCTTCGACTCCTCCCTGCAACAGGAACGAATATTGTGACACCATTTCCCATGATTATACTTATCAACTCCCCGAATCGTTGGAAATCCGTTTCAATCCCTTCGTGCTTTGGCAACCTTATGGTGTATCGTTTACGATACACATCAGTTCCGGATAATTACACTAGAGTTGATTCATGAATAGCTTCCGTTTTGTAAGTGACAATTTATTTTAAAATCTGTTATTACCAGACTGCGGATTTTATGCATTTAAGATATATAGTTACATGGAAAACATACAAAAAATGTAAATAATATATGTTGAATACATTCTGCAAGTAATATATTAAGTCATACTAAAAGTTTATGCCACTTATTCCTCTGTTACTAAAATTATTATGTGAAACATACTCTTAAGTTTTATAAAAAAAAAAGGTAATCTTTCTTATTTTATAATATTTTCTCACCTTTTTTTTAAATTAAATATTATACTACTAACCCAGACCTAATAATAAAATTGTTGTTTCATTTTGCCCAAGTGCACATACCTTTTGGTTATGCTTAGCATGTATTTATAACATTAGCTAGTATCACAGATGCATAAAATTAGCAGTCTACGTGTCATAATGAATCTTGATTAATTATACATATATTTGGAAGAATGCATATCTAGCTTCTGATATAAAAAATCATTAAAATGTAATTATTTGTTACTCGCACAGAAAGTTATTTATGAATGAACCCAATATATTATTAGGCAAGCTTGTTGTGGGCAACTTTGCAGTCGCAAACAAATATTCATTTTATGTTGTGATCATTTGGTTTAAAGTCATGTTTGAAATTTACGAAGATCAAAAATAAAATAAGTAATATCTTGTTCGAGACTGTAAAATTATCATTCTTTAACTTATATTATTATTATAATATCATCTGCGAGTCTTTATTTAATAGATCATCGTTTAACATTATTTCAGTACTTGTAACTTAGCTCAACAAATTCGTACTTCTTTCCTATTCTTGAAACAATAAAAAAAATGATATTATCTTTGTAAGCAAAATCTTATTTTAAAATATAACGAAATCAAAGTTTATATGTGAATTCTCTTTAATAGAGAATTATATTTCGAAAAATTGGATTATTTGTCTCAAACAAGCGTAATTCACTTAAATATTACTAAAAGACATAAAGTTGGCCATCTACAGATACAAAAAATGCTGAACACGTTCAAGTGACCCAAAAATAATTTGTTCTGTACAGAGGTAAAGCAAAAATGACGCAGCAGATGTATCGATAACACGTAGATAAAAACGATAATAATTTAAGTAGGCGTCGATACTCACGAATCCGAATTTTCGCTCTCCGTCTCGGATTCCTCGCTGCGCTGCGACTTCCACTTTTTATACCGGTCTATGAGATCGATCAGGTACGAGTTCTTCTTCGCCTTTCTGATGAATTGGAACTTCAACAGTTCTTTCGCCGTCGGCCTCTGAAGCAATCACGAAAAGGACGATTCATTGTCCCTCCAGAAAAAAAAAGCACGAGCACGATTCAAGGAAAGGGAAACGAAATAATCAAACGCGGAGTTAAGTTTCGGCGGAGATCATTCGATGAATTCGCGAGGACCGGAAGACGCTGACAAAAGGGAGATTGGAAAGATTGCTCGACGAAGTACGTGCTGATGGGATGCAGATTAGCAGGGAATCGTCGAAAAGATGGCCAAAATGCAATTTCTGAAGTTTCTAACGGCCTCTTTTTAAATATTGTGTCGTATACGTGTGTATTAAATGCTATTTGAAATTTGAAAAAATAGTAATTTGTTGTGGATATATATGTATATACAGCATAATTATAGCACTACATACAGTCAGTGTAATAAATATTCGCACAGAGACCATGTATTTTAAATTGGTTGCTGTACGAATGCTTCTTACACTGACTGTACATTTTTAAACTTTTCAGACTTTTGAGTAGGACCTGAAAAATATCAATTATATTATATATGCGACATGGAATAATCAAAATAGTGATTTTCACTTGATACAGTTACGTAACTGTAGCATGAACAACATAACTAAGCGAGTTTCGTTAACTTTAGAGTTGCGACTCGTGTAAATGAACTCTCTAATTTTTTTTTATAAAGTTAGACATTGTATTTAGTATATTATACATTAAAAAATATCAGGTGGTACATTCTCGTTATAAGAGTATAGTATTAAATAAGATTTCGTCATAAGGAGTATAGTATTAAATAAAATTACAGTTGTAGATTGTATCACCCGCGTTGTTCTCTATACGCAAGAAAATGTGAAAATTAAGGAAACGAGAAAAATCGTCAACTTTGAAGTGTTACATCTTAGAAATTAATCATTACATTTAGAGAACACAAATACTTGCGTATTTAAAAATTGAATTTTGGCCAGGTTATTCGCGAAATGAACCACTGCGTCGGCTTGTATTCAACGGTGCATGAAGATCAACTTACGTTTTCGGGGTCCTTGTTCAGACAGGCCTCGACGAACTCCTTGAACTGCTTCGTGTAATTTCCGGTTAGCTGAGGAGGATTGTTCTTCGGTATGAGGAACAGGACCCTCATGGGATGCAGTTCGCTGTTCGGCGGTTCTCCCTTGGCCAATTCGATCGCGGTGATGCCCAACGACCAAATGTCAGCCTGAGGAACAAGCGTTCTCCGTTTTACATAGTTGACGAGGTGTTAATGGAACGCTAATCGCTTCGTGACCGCTTTTTGCGCCTTCCAGGGGCCCGTAAAGACCGTCGAAAAAGGCAAGGAGGGACGACAGGTCGCTTTCATTATTATTTGATGTTCGACAAATAGGTATAAGGATGTGGATAGAGGGCTGAAATGGCTCCATATTATTAGGTAGTCACGAAAGTTTCTTTCGCGACTTGCGTTCAGCTGTTTCGTGTGCCAGTGTTTATATAAATATCGACCCTATCTCTTGGAAGTTGTTATTATAACAGTGACAGAGCAAAGAACATAAAACATGAGAAATTTTTGGGACAACTTAACACTTTTTTAAAAGTAGCTATAATATTTGAAGACCAAGAGGGAGAAACTCGTTACGTCCTAAAATTAAAAAATGGGGAAAATCGTGATTGTAGTTTACATAACTCCTAGGAGCATTAATAGTGGTTTAAAAATTCGGCAAAAATACATATTTCGAAGTTTAATGTATTTAATAGTTTAGAAATCAGGTGAAAGAAATTACCCAGGTAACGGAAAAGAGGGAAATTCGTTCTTATAGTCAACATCTTTTTCGATTGTATTTAACTGAGATGGAGTCTAACGATTTTGCACAACTTGATAAAATGTAATTTTGTTTTTGTGCTAAGCTACAGAGAAGATATCTTTAAAATATTTCTAAAACACGATAAATTAAAAGTGTGTAAGTAAAAGAATTCATCGGAAGCCAATATTTAGTACATACTTTAATATCTAATAATATTCCTTTAGTTGAATAACGAAATTAAGTATCTATGATTTCGAAAAGAATTTTATACTAAAAGATATATTAACATACATAAGTAAAATGATAATATGCAATCATATAAATATAATATAAAGTCATAAATTTTGAATTGCGTAAAAATTAAAACTTCTAGATCACGGTACAAATTATTGTAAACAGGAACGAATTCCTAATACTTCTATAGAGTACATAAACTTTATAGTACAATAACAAATTCCGAAGCTGGTTGTATTAGGAGACCAAGATGGTTAATGATTTCGAGAAGATGAATACAAATATTTAAACATTTGTGTTTCCTTTTTTCCCCGAGTATCTATCAGATCATGTTGACGATGACGTTCAACTATGTATATTTATTGAACGCTCGAGCAACAGCACTTGTAAACGTGCTTTAATTAGCTAATTATGTTTCGACCGCGTGAAGTGCGATTCTCTTCTGAATGATGGATACGATATGTACACAGCTTATTATACGAACAAGTGACGTCAGACATATCGAAATCGAACAAAAAACACAAGGTCATTTGCATATAGATTTACATATTATGGAGATGCTGTTAAGAATAAAACAACAAAAGTGGTCCTCTCGTAAAACCAAACCACTAGTTTCAAGTAATAAGGATACTTCTGTTAGTCATGCTACTTTGTCAGAAATATTAGACATCTCTCAAAGAAGGAGATTAGTCTAACGTGCTATCTATAAATGCAAATTCATGAACACGAGACGAAGAGAAATTATGGTGAAGCGTTGATCGATGAGACAGACACTTGTTCCCTTTTCTTTCCATCGTCATATGCAAATCTATATGCAAAACGGCTTGTGTTTTGCCTGATGTCACTTATTCGCATAATAAGCTATGTAGATTTCTTCACGATCGTGTATTTTATATTGCTATTTATCGTGTAGAAGAGGTCCTTACACTACGTGTTCGAAACGATAATGGCTAATTGAAGCACATTCACCTGCGTTGTCGCTCTTGTGGTTGATACGTAAATATACTGTGCAGAGATGAGAAAATGACTAGCAAGTCTGATTGCTAACAGTATAATTTTCTTGAGTGTATTACAGTATAGAATTCTGCATTCTTGGATCTTATATTGTAGAATAACATTGTATACTTTTGTATTCTATATTGTAGAGTAGAATTCTATATTCTTGTATCTGTAGTGTAATATAAAATTCTTCTTATTTAATGTATTGGAGCATTATACACATAATCCATATTGCAGTCTAGAATTCTTTAATATCTTTTTTATATTCTTTAATAGAATTTCAGGAAAAAGGTCTTCTTTTCATTTTTTATCTCTGAAACTAAACGTCGTATGAATAAACTCTAAATATAGAAAAGTTTCGTTTTGTTATTCTCTATAAGGTGATATTTTTTTTTAAATTCGATTATTCTACTGTTATTTTTTTTCTTTAAGATAACAACAACAGGATCAGACTACTACGAGATCTCAGGAAAAAGGTATTTTAAGTTTTTAATTTTTATCAGTGAAACTAAACGACGTATGAATAAACTGTAAATATAAAAAAAGTTCCGTCTTATCATTCCCCATAAGTTCATATTTTTTTTAAATTCACACCTTCTACGTCTTCCAGAATTTCCAGCAATAATCTTCCCGCAGGGGTTAATATAAAATTCAGTCTGTTTGAGATTTCAACTATTTTTAATTTGAGATTTCGAACCTACAACTCCTGCTTTATTTTCCAATTTCTCTTTATATTCCACCGGAAAGTACAAGCTACATAATTTTCTGAACGGCGAGTTACAATAATTATTAAACAATATTAGAATCCCTATTACTTAGCCAAGAAAACCTTTCAAACAACTATACGATCTTTGCACGGTATATAATTCATAAGAAAATTCTAAAATTAAATAGGAGCACAGAATTGGTCATTCATTGTGCTTGTCGGGAACTAAGGTTGTGTGAAATGACGAAGACCTAAGGGCAGAGTCCTTTCCCGTGAATACTTGCGCGAAAATAGACCGTCAGCTCGCGTCTACTCCTATTAGTTGTATTACTCTTGTTGGTTGCGAAGCTAATATTGGCTTTGGAAACGACCTGACGGTTACGGATACAGGTATCAGTGTGGGAAAGGTTCATGGACAGAGAAGAGAGCCGGGATTAAAGTTTCCAGAAGTTGTTCTACGCGAACTACGAAATCGTACTAAAACCGACCAAGTTGAGTCATTGGCAAGTAATGAAATTAAATCTGCAGGATTACCGACCTAGCCGCAGCCTGCAAACATCGCGTCCGAAACTACAATAACGAGATTGAAAATACGCCTCGACTCTCGGGACCACGTTTCGATTGGTCTTCTGTAATTACCTTGAAATCGTAGGAGGTCTGTTTGATCACTTCCGGTGCCATCCAGAACGGCGTCCCGACGAAAGTGTTCCGTTTGCTGGTCGTGTTGGTCAACTGTCCAGCCACGCCGAAGTCGGCTAGTTTAACGTCGCCCATTTCGCTCAACAGAACGTTCGCCGCTTTGAAACAAAACAATACGACAGTTATGGAAACAATTCTACCATTGCTGGAGTCGAGTATTTGTCGCGCACCGATACTTCTACTGGCAAAAAAACAGTGCTCGATACAAGCGTGCCTTAATTAATATTATTGCGATTTGAAAAGGTACGCAATTCTTATTAAATTGTTTCTACCTTGCTTAGTTGTTTTATCATGAAATTAACACTTACATAATTTAACCCTCTCTAGGCCGAATATTTGTTCTGCAAACTACTTGCAATTGCTTATACAGGATGCGAATATGGTCGAGAATGTGTGCAAATGCGAAAATATATGAAATATTAATAATAATTTACGTGCTATATCGTTTAGATGATTAGACATATGTACTTTCATTCTAGTTTTACTTCTTCTTCTGAAGTTTTGAAAATACGAAATTGCATATAAATTCACAGTTGAGTCATTATAAACAAAATATCTTCGCAACTTAACGCGCTACGAACAGTCAAGGCAGTAATCGTTACTAACCAAGTTACTAATCGTTATATAATAATAAACGGTGACTGAGAAATTATTTCCTCCTTCGAACAGCGATACTTGTGTTAGAAAAAGTATGAGTAATACAGCGAGTTAAAATAATTATTTCCACTTGTACTTTTAAAGTAATTATATTGCACTTGTTATCTCACTATATTGGACAGCTAAATAAACAAACATTTAAAAATCATCTAACGTAAAATTTCCACGATAAATTCGGATACGAACAAAGTTTAAAAAATATTCAGAAATAATAGACAGAGAATGACGATCAAAGAAAGACCACGAGCATTTTGCACACTCTTTACACGCAGACTGCGTCTGGAGGGTTCAAAGCACGATGGTTTCTTCTTAACAAATGATCCTCCTCAAGAGACACTAAGAGCTTATTATTCTTTGCTTTCTTCTTTTTCCAGCGAATTCACCTTTAATATCGCGATGAAGCTTCCGTTCGCTGTGAAGATAATCCAACCCTTTGAGCACCTCGCGCAATATCACCGCGATATGCATTTCCTCGAAGCTACCGGCCTTCATCAAGTCCAGGGCCGAGCCGCCACCCAAGTACTCCATAATAATCCATAGTTTCGTTCCCTGCAAACAGAGGAAGATTCACGTTTTACCCATCCGTTCGGAAAACGCTTCCGCGTCTGGAAATTACGTTTACGGTTCGGCTATTAAATTGTCAGCCAATCGTTGTTCGTTTTTTACCGTTGAACAGATCGTGATCTGATTAACATCAAACTTGCCGTAATCGATCAAGGGGGAGGGAGAGCAATTTGTTGGGGGACCTGGACTTATCCTTTAATGTAGGAACCATTTAAATGTCAGAGATGGGCAAAACCCTAGGCTTCGAATAAATCTGAAATTTGCCGATGTGTTTGTCATGTTTCCTCCTTCGAAAAATGTTCAAAAGGGGAAACGAGACAAACATATTGTGACGCGTGGCGGAGAAAGAGAAGAAGCTCACGCGTCACAGCAATTTATTTAACAAATTTATATATATTTTACTTGCTTATCGGTAAGGTCAGGTCTTTGTCGCAGCAGTCCCGTACGGGCCCTGTCTCGTATGTGAATTTCTAAGTGAAATCTGGATAGAAATGTAAGGATGCGAGCGGATTGAAACGGTGAATACGAATTACAATGATAATTTTACTGCTGAAAGAAGGCTATCGTGTTTAATTGAATAGAACTTCGGATTATGGTACAGTTAGAAATGATATACTTGTAATTTAAACAAATGACTCGAACAACGATGTCAGAAATACAGAAATTTGCTCTTTTAATTAGTTGCGATCTTTCGTTCTCTCGTTCTCACTTTACAATAGCAGTATATTATATATATAAATAAAACTATCGGAATAAATGTACAATAATCAGTTAGGTACCACCCATGAACATCAATTTGGGTTTACCCGGAAATGAAATATCATTTTTGATATTCCGAGTGGTCACAATTATGCAAAAGTACATATAACAATATCGTATTGAAAGATAACACTCACCACTAAGATTTATGATAGAATTTATCGCTGGGATATTCAGCTACGATACTGAGACTGGTGGGTGCTGTTCGTCGATGATGCTCTGGTCGGAGGAAAAGCACACACACGTGAAAGAATTATAATTTACGTAATCAAAAGCGAAATTACTATTTACAAAAAGGAAAAAGAAAATCTAAATCTAAAATGTTTTAAATAAATTAAAATAAAAATTATTTTAACGAGGAATAAGAGTCCTTGCCTATCACTCACTTTTCACAAAATGAATTTACTTTAATACGGCAACTCTGCTCTAAACTATTCGCTCGGACTACTATCACGCTTTCGCGACTGTACGATGACAAGTGATCTCGGCTCGCGCTTTGCTCAACCACGTAAACTCTGTCGAACGTTCTAGAAGGTTCGAAAACAAATGATCTAGAAGCACGCGATGGAAGATTCGTTGATATAAAAACTACCAACATTGCTCGGCGACTTGGTACGCGCGAGAATCTTGTGTTGACAAATGGTACCATCCCTTCGCGTCTCGCGCCGCCGAATTGCTCAATTCGTCCACGCGACAACGTTACGCGAGTGCGAAACACAAGGCCGCTTCAAGTTATACCTTAGCTTCCAGAACGTTCGAAATGAAGAAATGCCGAAAGAAATGCTTAACTCGATTTCGTGGTATTTGTACATCTCTCCTTCGAGCGATGTCTGTAACCGTCGTATCAAATATTTAAGAGAAACGAATAATATTTGAATTTAGCAATGATACGTTGTGTGCTTATCCTTTACCACGACGCTTGAATATTTATATCGTATATATAACAATCAACGCATTACTTTCGCAAGACGCAACGCGTACATACTATTATATTTACAATGCGAAACATATTAAACACATTAAACATATTTACAAGATTTACCCGCGGCGTGACGTTGCCAGCAGGGCGAAAGTGGCGTAACGACGTTGATTTCATGGAGAGAATGTGTATTCTTTCTCATAACGAATTTAGCAAACTACCGTCAAAGGCTAGGTTTGTGTTCGATTAGAACGAATTCGGGATGGTAAACCATCTCGAACACATTCCTGCCGACGAAATCAAGAAAAATACAAATTTTAATTGTCAACACGTAACAATATCGGCAAACTTCAGATTTATTCGAAGCCTAGGGTTTTGACCATCGCTGTTAAATGTAATACTAATCGCACTTAATATAGGGCATAGCAATCTCAACTAAGTGTGATAATTAAGATATTATAGAGGAAAGTCATTTTCTTTAAGACTGTTGTTAACTTAACGACTTCGATGTCTTGTGTTATTCATTCGTGTTCTGAACAAGCAGTTACATATTGTGAGTTAGTACGTATATTATAAACTACACTAAAATCCCTAAATAACAATCTAACACTTAAGGTAGGACAGTAGTTGAGATTCTATCAATAGTCGAGAATATCAATTGAGATCTTCTTAAATAAGTAAAATGTAGCAGTAGTTCTATGTAGCAGTGGTTCTACCAACACTAGTGACTATAAGGCGATCTTATTTGTTGTATAAATTAATAACCATCATTGTTTTTAATATACCACTATCCTGTACATTTTAATATCCTATTATAGAGAAACAGGATGGTCGAAGAAACAGCCACAATTTTGCATCGAAAATTCTTGTTGAGTATTGAATCAAATCAACAAGAAAATCTTTAGTTTCTTTGTTTAAGATAACAATTAAAGGCTCTACAATCCTCGCAGTAAGAGGACTATGAACATGACATATGTAATCAACAAGAAAATCTTTAATTTCTTTGTTCAAGATAAAAATTAAAGGCTCTACAATCCTCACAGGACTACGAACATGATCATATGTGATACTTTCCACGTGCAATTCTTCATAGAAAAAAATCATTCGTAGACCTAAAAAGAGTGAATTGAATTTAGCTACTGTCCAGCACGCCCAGGTCCTGACGCATTAGCGGCTATTTTGCAAATTACGTGTGCCGTTCGCAAACGGCGGGCCGTCGTTGTTAAGCCATCAATCTTTGTTGGCTTAATGGCCGTGCCAACGCAGAACCGCGCCTTCCGCGATAATTATATCCGACATCGATGTCCAATCGGTGCGCTACCAACGTTACGCACTGGTGTTAAACCTGACTCGTTGGTTATCCGATAATCGAGGGACTAATCATTGGCTCGTACAAGGATGCTCGAGATTCCCGCTCTTTGGTCACCGGCTTGTGAAAGAATCACTAAGCAACCGCGATCGAAGCAGGATGATGACTCGGGTTAGAATGGAGGATGGTCATTCTCGAACGATGAAAAAAACGGTTGTCAAGGTAACCGCTTTTATTTTAGTTATTTTCGTAACCTGGTTTTACTAAATTAACACTTTGTCCAATGGGAATCTATTCATAGCTCTTTCGATTTCGGCGTCCACCTAATAGCGTCTTTTATCTGTGCTTTTGATTATCAATAGACTGCGAATGTTCGTGCATTTACAGTAAGTGTAGAATGTATTCGTACACCGATCAATTTCCTAAAAAACTTTTGTGTGAAATTGTAGTTTTCCTAATTCCTTTTTTTATAATCAATGATATTTTACATATTTTCAGAAATTTCTAAAATAGATACAGTCCAAACAACATTTAGTAGTTAATATGATTTGTGAAATTAACAAAAAAATGCGAAAAGTGGGTAAAAATATAGAAGCAATAAGTATTTGTACGGTTCCTATGACGAACCATTTAGAGTAGAGTTTGTAACGTAAACACATTAGTTTATTACTTCGTACGAATTAGAAAACATCAAATTTCCAGTAAAGTACTTTTAAAAATGGCTCTAATAGAGGAATTTAGTTAATTTAGTGCTTAGAAGAGTTGCAATAATTATAAAATCAAAAGGAAATCCCACGAAGGAAGTATTAATGTAAATTTCTTTTTTTTTTGTTTTTAAATTAAACAGTCGTACGAATACTTATTGCTTCAATATTTCTATCGATTAATTGTTTTTTTCTTGTTAATTTCGCAACTTACATAAATAGCTATTCTTTTTTTTTAATCTATCTATTCTAGAGATTTCCGAGAATATGTAGAATGTCATTGTTTATCAAAAGTAAGTTAATAAATTACAATTTTACATAGTTTTTTTTTGGAAATTGATCAGTGTACGAATACTTTCTACACCCACTGTATGGCAAATGTATAAAAATGTCTGCATATTCGCAAAATATATAAAATATCAACTACGAAATTTATATTGCACTGTTTAGAAGGTATACTTTCATTTATATCTCAATTATTTATTTCGATCCAAAAGAACATGAATTTGCATAAATACACGCAGTTTATACGCCCTCATTTCCCCGTATTTTTACTTGCCATAAATGTATAAACATCCGCAGTCTAATAATAATCGTGGCAAGGTATGGTGTAAAAATATTGCAACGAATGATTTAGATGGACCTAAAATGAATAAGATTCTAATTCGAGCTCACGTGAAAGCCTGAAGCTTCCGATCACTGAACTGACCTGTATTAGTGAGCTATTGATGGGATCCATTAAGGAGCTATTTAAAACGTTTATATACACTATGTAACGGCAGAAAAGCCGGAAAGTTTGCTCACTTAACTTCAAAGCGTGTCGACAAGTTTCGCGAACCAATGAAGTATGAAAACACTCGCCTGGCATTGGCTGTCGACGGAATTTCGAGAATAGATCATTTACGAAATTGCAGAAATAATCGCGGGAGAAGTGCGACAACTCGAAAATTCAAAACATTTGTAACTTTGCAGACATGTAGTTGAAGTGACGCTGACGTAAATGTATCCTGTTTTGATAATGGACAGGTCCATGGTAACTCGAAAATTCAAACCATTCGAAGGTTTGCAGATATATAGGTTAGCAAATGTGTTTCGACATTGATAGAAGCCAAGAGTGGAAATATCCCATTACAAAATTTGTGTGTTTTTGTACTTTCACGAGTATCTGTGAAAGCGTAAAAAAATATCGAAAAAGAGTTCGATTCGTAAATTTACTTCGAAGAAACAATTATCGAAGAAGCAGAATCAATATTTCCTTACTCAAAATTTGATTTTATTATTACAGAATATAAAA